CCCCAAAACCCCAAAACCCCAAAACCCCAAAACCCCAGGAGTTTTAGGAGAGATTGAGAATTTTAGAGGAGATTTAGGGAGATTAGGGGTTTGGGATGGGGGTCTTGGGGGATTGGGAGAGGATGTATTGCTTGGTTTTGGTGCGGAGGGAGGGGTTTGTGTTGTAGGATTTGTAGATGGTTTGGGCTAGGGAGGTTTTAGGAAATTTGGTATTTTTGAATTGGATGAAAGCGGAGGGAGGATAGAAGGGAGAATCTGAGTATGGATTTGGATTTTGGACTCTTGGAGTATAAATAAGCTTACTAAGATTTTCTTGGCTTGTGGAAATCTGTTTTAACTTATTTTTGAAGCCTACAATGTTTCATGTAAATTACTTTAGCTTATGTTTCTTTAGAAAAATGTTGCATAAATTTGTTTTTGTTCTCAAAGAAATATTCTGATTTGCAATTTGAGGATTCTTAGGATTTCTAGCATTTTCCTTATTTCCCAAACTGTTGTGGATAATGTAGAATCATAGGATCTAGACATTTCCTCAAAAATCTTACATTTCTTATTGCTAGAATGAGGTGTTGAATGTGGTTGGATTTTCCTTTCAGTTTTGGAAAGAGATAATGCTTTGTCTATACCAAATATCATCACTAGCTTTTATGCACTAAACTAAGCAAAATCTCCCATCATTATTTGCTCTAATAATTGCAGAGATGATAGATTACCTAATGTATGATAGTTCCCCTGAGGGATAAATCGACTTTTGGGCCTTTTCCCTGATATAAAAAGTTCTTCGTGTTGAACACTATCTTGCAGGTCTAATCACTGATTTTGGTTCTGAACAATTAAGCTGGTTTGGTGAGGTTTATCACTACTTCTTTCTCTCAATTTTTTCAAGTCGATCATCTTGAGGTCTAGACCAGATTAAGAGCCAGTCTTACTGAACTTTCTATTTGGGTTTTTATAAGGATTGATGAACTTTGCTGGCATTTTTGTGAATGTTGAGGAATCTATCATTGACTTCTATGCGATTTAGCATCAGAATTAGCTTAAAATGAGGCTTACCCTGGCCAGCATTTTGCCTTCAAGCTTATTCTTGTACCTATAAAGGTGAAACCCATGCTTACATCTTCAGAAATTTATTATAATTTCCAAAATCTGCAATCTTTGAGTAAGAGAAAGCACGTTCTAAATATACGATCAGGGTCTTACTGCTAGCATTTAACGACTGCTGTATATCTGGATCCTTTGAAACATTTATTTTTGAGTAATTTAACAACGGTTTTATAGACCTCTGATAGCTCTTTTCAGTACTTTTGGCCTCTCTTTTCGTTGGTCTTTTCACAAAAGTCGGCGTCTTTGTTTGAATGGGACATTCTAACGACATATCCTCTCTGAAAGTGACTTTAGGTTTCTATGTTCCAATAATTAATCACTTCAACTCCCATAAAAAATTTCCCTCAAACCACCTCCTTATCAATATTACCTTCCTTCAACACATTGAGTAAATCCTTATTCTTACTACTCCCTCCACTCTCTCTGCCGCCACCCAGCTTCCCACTCAGCCCGTACAAATTCTTCTTATCAGGCACACGCATCGTTAACCTGTTCCTGTTCATACTACTTACTTCTGAGGTCTATATTAGAACAACTGTTAATGCATCTCTTTTAAAAGTTTACTAAAATGATAATTTATAAGCCAATGGGATAAATTGGGATAGCATTAGAAAAGGGGGTCTAGGGCTGGCATACCTTTATAGAGTTTAAATTAAGCTCTTTTTTGTGTCTCAGCTTGTAAAATGTCATACTTTCAATCCTACTCTTCTTTCCTTGTAGAATATAATTGTTCATTTTCAATATATTATAATCTGTTAGGGGTTTTGGGGTTTTGGGGTTTTGGGGTTTTGGGG